AAAAAAAAAAAAAAAAAAAAAAAAAAAAAAAAAAAAAAATGCCAAACAGAGAGAGTCATGTTCAGCCAACAAATGGAAATGCCTCTAGTAAGTAATGGTTTGGGTTAAAATCTAATGACAAGTATTAACCTCATTTGTTTTCCAGAACATATTTATTATTCCTCAGGTTTTTTGATTTGTGGAAAGAACACCTAGAGATTAAATAATGCAGTTTAAAATGTATTCTTCTTGCTAATATATTGAATCTTCTGACTTATATTCTAGAAAAATTCATTCATGTCCTATAATGAACAAAGGATAGCATTATTAAGGTAATGTCAGAGAAGCTTATGGTTGGAAATCACCATTTCAAACATTAAACCCTGAGAGTAGTTCATTATTTCACAAGGCCTTTTTCTTTTCATAGTTTTTTCTTAGTAATTATCATTTTATTCAATAACACTCTATGATTTTATTTTTATTCAGTAACATTCTATGATCTTTCATATTTCACATTGGCTTTTTTTCTACTTTGGTATTCTGTAATAACAACTGTTACTATGTGTGGGATTTTTGTTCATTTTGAAAGATATCACTATGGATTCCTGGAACACAGAAAAGTTGTCTTAATTGTAATGTTGTTTATGGATGCAATTGCCTTACTGAGTGCTCTGATTTACATTCTTTTTATAGTGGATTCTTTTTCTTGATTTTTTTGGCAGGTAATAATTTTTTTGCAAATAGTGAGTTTTATCTCCTATTCTTATTTATTTTCTTATCTTAATGTTAAGTAAAATTTAGTCTATATTTATAATGTGCCAGCACAGGGCAAATGTTTTTGTATATTACCTCATTCAATCCTTATAATAGCTATATTCAGTAACTGTTATTATTTCCATTTATGGATGATTAAACAGAGGCATAAATGGGTTAAGTAATCTGTTCAGATTTACAGAGGTGTAATTAATGGAAGAGAGATTTGAATTGAGCGATCTAACCGCAGGGCCCAAGATCTCAAACTTATGCCCTTCTTGTAATATTTGGGACCTCCAGTGCAAAGCCTGCAGGGATAGAAAAGCTTTGTTTCTTAACGGTTTTAATGGAAATTCTTCTTGTATTTCACCATTAACTGTGATGTCACTGTTGTTTCTGCTAGATACCCTTCATCCAGTTAAGGAATTTCCCTTTTATTTGTTGCTTTCTTGGAATTGTCTTTTTTTTATTTTTTTTTTGCCAGAGATATAGAGAGATATTTTATAATGATGAAAGAGTCAAAAGTGTACATACCTAAAAATAGTCTTAAAATACATGAAGGAAAAATTGACAAAATTGAAAGGAGAAAGAGACAATTCTACAATAATAATTGGAGATTTAAATACCTCAGTCTCAATAACTGAAAGAAATTAATAATTGAATAATTGAAAGAAAAATCAAATAATTGATTTTTCTGGACAGAAAATCAGCAAGGCTATAGAAAAAGTGAACAATACTATTAACCAATTCAACCTAATTGACATAGGTCAATGATCAAATGTTTATAAAATTTTCATTTCTTGTGCATTGCAACAATTTTTAAAAATACTCCTTTCTTGATTATCAGGAAAACATTTCCATTAGATCATATATCCTATCATTGTTTGGGGGGTGATTTTTAGATTGTGTTTCTACTTATATCAACTTCTCTTCCTCTTCTTGAGTCAATTTTGTCATGTTTATTTTGCCAAAAATCATTTATCACATCTAGAGTCCAAATTCTTGTATAAAATTACATGTGGTTTTCTTGTATAATTTAAAATTGTCTTCATACATATAGGTTTTTCTCTTTTCTCATCTCCAAAGTTGTTTAGTTGTATCTTCCTACTGTTTTGTTTTTTTCTCTTTTTCCTTGATAGAACATATCAAAGGTTATCAATTTAATTCATTTAAAAAAAATAATTTAGATTTGCTTTTCTGTTAATTTTCTGTTCGTATCCTTTTATTTTTTTATTGACTTGAAGGAGTACTTGATATATTCTGGCCACTGATCCTTTATACAATATGTACTTGAAATTATCTTCTTTATCTCTGTGGCTTGCTTTTATCTGTGGTGTCTTTTTATACAGTGTTAAATTTTTCTGTAATCAAATAAATATATCTTTTCTTCCAGCTTTTATTTGTAGCTTCTGCTTACAAGGATCTCCCACTTCCTAAGTTATGCACATAAACTCTTAAATTCTCTTTTATAAATATTTATTATTTTATATTTTCCATTTAATTTTTAATCCATCTGGAATTTGTTATTTTATGGTGTGAGGTAAAGGCCCAACACTTTTTATTTTCCAGATGAATAGCAGTTATGGACTATCATTTATAAAATAAGTTACATTGAATTTAAGTATAATGTTTTATTTATTAAATTTACAAATATATTGAGATATATTTCTATGCTCTCTATTATGTTTTTGTTATCCAATAATCTTTTTCTATGCCAGTAATACATTGTTTTGATTAGTCTGGCTTCATAGCACCCTTTAATATGTGTAAGGCAAATTTCCCCTCACGATTCTGATGAGGCTTTTCACATATTTCTGATATATATCTTCATATGAACGTCAAAGTCACTAAATTTCAAAAGAAAAAAATGTACTTTACTAAAATTAGTAAAAAAAACCAGTTTGTTAACTGGTGCTTCTTCTGTCCTTTCTTCTACTATATATTTTTAAACATGAAGTTAATTCCAATTCTTCTCTACTTCTTTCTCCAATCCTAATACCAAAAACTGTCCTAAGGAAATGCTTCATTAAAGCAGTTTTGGCAGATAGGAGCAATCCCTTAGTGTACAGAGGCTGGAGAAAGCAGACACAGATGTGACTCAGACATTCTGAAGCAGGGCTCTGACTCTGAGGACTGATGGTCCAGGGCCCTCTTGCTCTTTGTATTTGTTGACAATTAACTGTGCTTACCTCTTTGCTTTAATTTATGCTTTGGGCTATATTTGGTGCATTCTTGTTTCACTACTAGTCTGAAATCATATGCTTTCTATGTTTCAGGAAGTCCTCAAATTTTAAAAAATCTTTCATTGCACTTGTTACCAATTATGTTAAGAATTATTTTTTGTTGTTTTTCATTTGTTTTCTTCTGTCTTTATCTGGTTTTGATTGGGTTTGCTTTGGTTTTCTCTGTTTTTATATTATAAGGGGTTTGAGAAGAGCTGTGCATGAAGACAGTGCAAAATCAAATCCTAAATTAGCAATAGAAAGTATAAAAAGGAAAACGTGTCTAATCACTACCTGAAATACATCCATTCTCTAAAATTAGATTATTCCAACCAAGGAAATAAAAAAGAATTATAAGGGAATAAAGTACCTTGGAAGATAGAAATAAATGGTGACCCTTCAAAAAATAAGACATAAAAAAATTTTAATTCCTGGTTAAGCAATCAAAAAAGCTAGGGATATAAAATCCCATTTTGTCATGTTGGTTAGATTACCAGAGCCACAGTTCTTTGCCTCTCATATAAAATAGCATTTATGTAATTTAACATTTTTTATTTAAGCATTTATTTTCTGTCTTCTTCTTTCCAGGAAAAAGTAACTTATTGACTCTTCTATGTTCCTGTAGTTTTCATCTCATGAAATTGTCACTCTTGTAGTAGTTATCAGAGATTGTTATAATGAGTTGTTCACATGTCTGCATGCTTAACAATATTCTGAGTTTCTCAAGGATGGGGCTTAGCCTTCCTTCACTTTGAAGCTAATGTGTATTAGGTGATCAATAAACATTTTTTGGCTATTTCTAATTCTTAATAAAATTTTTAATTATTGTTCTTTAACTTTTATAATATTTAACATTCTGTGCTATTTTGTGTATCCAAATAGATTATACTTTCCTTGAAGGCAGGAACTTTATTATTATTATTACACAGCTCCTAGTATGGTGTTATACATGTAGTATACACTAAAGGAAGGAATGAATTACTTGATGCCAAATATTGTGGATAGAGCAGAACATTAGCAACTGTAATTGACTAACATTTCTATTTCTTTCTTGGTTGTTTAGATATAAATTTTCAGCCACCATCAACAGAACCTTCACTAATTGGTACAAGTTTTACTCATAGTCCTGCTACTATCAAAAAGTTCCTGAACACAAGCAACAACATCTCACGCTTGTCATTAAAATCAGTTACAGCTCAAATGGATAATTCGAAGAAGGCTATTTTCTATCAGATATCAAGTTCTGAACATGTGGATCATACTCGCAGAACAAACCTCAGTCTGGATAGGTTGGAAGTTCCTGTGAACAGCCATAGTTCTTCAAGCATTAGCCCAAACAGCTCCCATGGTGGAGTAACGGATGTTATCCAGAACACCATCCAAACAAAGACAGGAGGGTATAATTCTCAAAAGAACGGGTCTTCCCAAGCTTACACACAGCATAAGGATAGGCTTGCTTCGTTGGTTACTAAAGCAGTCACTATTTTGCCAGGGAAGTTTGGATCAACCAAAATATCAACTTGTGCTGAATCACCTTGTTTTCTTGGTGTTTCGTGTGTGCAAACCACAGATGGTCACTTCAAATGTGGACGCTGCCCCTTTGGGTATTATGGAGACGGTGTCAACTGCAGAGGTAGGATAAAAACTCTTCAGAAGATACAAAGAAAACTATGTAGTTCAAGTTTAAATAATTCAGAAGATATACTTTTCTATTTGTTAATTTCTATATATTCCATTTAGTTCACTTATTTCTGTATATTTTATTTATTATTTGTGTATATTCTCATCACATTTTGAAAAAAAGTGAGTTTTCTGAAGTTATCTTTTAAAATAATATGAGGGTATTTCAGAAAGTTGATGGAAAATAGAATTTAGTGATAATGTAAATACTTCCATAAACTTTTTGAAGTACCCTTTTATTATATAGTATTACAGCTATATAATATACATTATAAATATATTTATTGAGTACCTACTATGTCCCAGGTTCTGTAGAAGACTTCTGTCTCAATTATATCATATAATGTATAAGAACCCTACATATTGGATGTTTTTTTGCATTTTACAGTTGAGAAAGCAGAGCTCTGGAGAGCTAATTGACTTCTAAGCAGCTAAGGAGATAAAACAAAGATGTGAATGTCCATCTGATTTACATTGTGGCTTGGGTTCTTTTCAGCTCACAGTGGGCGTTTAGTACTTCAAATTACTAATTCTGCCAATTTTGCTTATTTGCATAAACTAGGATTCTCTGTAATTCCTTCAGGTCTTTTGAGATTAAAACAAGTTGTATATCACTTTAATTTTAGAAGTGTTGTTTACATCTTTTTATAATTATCAGTATTGTTTTCTCTGATGCAAATCAAATTTTTGGCTTTGACAATGTAAAAGTTTTTCTTCTTTTTTTTTATTGTCTTGTTTTATTTGTGTTTTGGTTTGTTTGAAACCAAACTTAAGCAAGAGAGCTGTTTGAGTAGTCCTTTGTCCTTAGTATTACCTAGAGAAACTTTTTTTACTTTTTTTTCTGTGGGGAATATAATAATAATAACCCTCAACACCTAAATGTTTATAATATAAAACTCCTTTATTATTAACAAATAACGCAAAACTGCCTCATGCATTTCAGTTACCTCAGGAAGTGTTAAATGTCAGATAGAACACAGTGGGTAGTTAGAGAAGCTTGAGGAATATGAACCTATTAGTTTATGATGTATTCCTGGCATCTTGCTCTTTGAAATTCTGATTATCCTTGTCATTCACCAATATTTAGTTGGTTAGTATCTGAAACTTCATTGCCCTCTGAAGAAAGGACTGTAATCCCATGTGTGGTTAGCTGCTCTCTCCAACATCAGGTTCTGCTATGGGAGTAATTACCACATGGTACTTCTTTCTCACCCTATTTTTTACCCATTTTCCTCAGTCATTCTAGTAGTAAAACAAATGTGAAGGGAAAAACCAAATTTATGGGTAAATGTTGCTGTTGTTTAATAGTGGTATTAAAATGCTCAAATTTCAGAGAATTTTACTTTTATTATAAATAAGTCTGTGGGCAGCATGTATATACTGTATCAACAATTGAGCCTTTTTTCCTTGATTTTTGCAGCCATTTGTAGACACCCATGTGGAAAAAGCAGAGCATGTGTTGCTCCAAACATATGCAAATGTAAGCCTGGTTATACTGGTTCTCACTGCCAAACTGGTAAGCAGCTCATTTGTTTGTTTACATAATAAATTTTATTTGATAATTAATATTTCTAAGTCATGGGCTTTATCTTATACAGCTGTATGTCATCCTGATTGCAAAAACCATGGAAAATGTATTAAGCCTAACATTTGCGAATGTCCTCCAGGACTTGGTGGAGCAACCTGTGATGAAGGTGATAATTCAAATTAAAAATCAAATAATAGGGCTAAAAGAAAGCATTATTTTCTTTAAAAATATACTAATATACTAGGGTACTTCAAAAAGTTTGTGGAAGAATTGAATTGAAAGATAATACAATTTTTTCCATGAATTTTTTGAAGTGTCCTGGTATTCATTAATGTTGGTGCAAGAGTCCAAGTTGTTGAAAAATAGTTATTAAAAATAATTTATTTGAGAATTTTAGAAACAAATTTTTGAAATCAGATCTAAAGAGCAATAGCGTCTCTTTAGTAAAGTTGTCTTGCAAATTCATTTTTTGAGATTTTAGTTATGTTGCCATAATTCTTACAAATATTTCAGCTTCAAGTTTTTGAATGACTTATGAGACATGGGTCTAGGAAAGTGTTGAACGCTAAATAATTAGAACATATAAGGTATTAAGAAGAAACCCAAAAAGTGATTTTTAAAAATACATTTATATGTAGTTTTAAATATAATTGCATTGCTTTGGCTAAAATCTTGAGTGGATGATATTTTAAAGGAATAATTTTGTTGTTTATTTTTAAAATCATATTTTAAAATACTATAATTTGTTAGGTGGTACATATAAATATGAATAAACCGAGAGCCACATTAAATGCTTTTATGACAAGTAAGCTACAAATTAAATTTATAGTAAATTTGGATAGTAACTATGGATATATAAAAATGCTCTATTTATAGGGCTAGAATATATAAGTCCAAGTCTCACTTTTCAGAAGAAGACTTATCCAAAAGTTTTATAAACCACAACATGCTGATGTTAGAGCATGAATCGGTATAGCAATTCCATAGAACTAAACTTTGTATCAAAAAACTGAGTTCATTACAAATACTCTTACAAGGAGGTTTTATTGTGAATGTACTTCATAAATATAAACAGGCTTTTTTTATTAAATGCTGACTTAATAACATAATCTGTGTCTGCAGAATTTTGCAACCCACCTTGTCAACATGGTGGCACATGCTTGGCTGGCAATCTCTGCACTTGTCCTTATGGTTTTGTAGGACCAAGGTGTGAAACAAGTAAGCAAAATTCTCTTGCAGTCTGATGTAATGAAATTGCTTCTTTGAGTAGTTGATGGCTTTAACACAAAATGAAATGAATCCAGACCCTAAGTAAAGAACAGGTATTCATGATTTATGACAGCAGTTACTATGTGGACAGCACTAAGAACAACCACAGGTGACCAGTAGAACTAAGATGAAGAAGTTTGTTCTTAGAAGTAACTATCCTCTTGACCCTATCCATGCCCCTTTCTTTGAGATAATAGAAATTCAAATTTGTTAATTTGCATGTAAACTTATCTCATTTAGTTTATCTTGGTGATTATTTTCATCAGTAACTAATCATTTTCTCAAATTTCCAACTCTTGTTTACCACTCAGCTCAATGGTTTTCTACTCTGCCCATCTCTGTTAGCAAAATAACAATGTGAGAATCAGACAGCATTTAAAGCCAAATTATAAATTATGTTTTATCCTTCTCTCTGATCTTATTCATTAGCAGACATGATTGGCAGTTATGAGCTAGCCAGATAATAGCCAACAATAGAGGATTCCAAGCCTAATTTACCTTTCATTTATTTTTATTCCATGATCTTAGTGGTTTGTAACAGGCACTGTGAAAACGGAGGTAAATGTCTTACCCCAGATGTTTGCCAGTGCAAGCCTGGCTGGTATGGACCCACCTGTAGTACAGGTAAGATCAGAAGTATTTTCAATGAACATGTCAATTAAAAGAAACTTAAAATATACCAATGTCCAAAAGATTTGCACCTAAGGAACATAAAACCAATCTGACAAGACAGGTATAAAGTTGTTATTTTAAACAGATTTCTAAAAGTCTATATTTCATCTTTATTTTTTTTCTTCTTATATTGGACCATACAGTGTCTTACAGTTTTAGAGCTATCCTATTCAATCAGTACTGGTGGGTTTTGGGGGGGGGGGGGGTGTTTTTTTTTGTTTTTGGTTTTTTTTCCTTTTATTTTT